CCCCCCCCCCCCTTCAGTGACCTACCCTGAAGGTGTCCCGAGCCCCCGCCCTTCCCGGCGACGGGGCGGCCGCCGCTCTTGCCCCGACCACCGCCTCCGCCGCTGCCGCCGCTGCCGCCGCTCCCCGATGCCCCTCCCGGCACCGCCAACCGACCCGTCGTCCCTGCTGGGCGCGGGCACGCGTCCCCGAGTCGGGCCAGAGCGCGCGGCTTCAGCCTCTCCACGCTGGCGATGTTGCACAGCAGGAGAGCGACATTCCTCGCGTCGCCGATCGCTCTGAACTGCGCCAGGCTGCGCCGGAACCACGCGTCGGCGGAGGCGACGCAGACAGCACACCCCAGCCCCGGGTGGACCGGTGGTTGCTGCTTCGCGGCCGCCCCCGCCGGCGCCAGGCGGGAGGAGGAGGCGGCGGCGGGTCCTCCTCCCCCTCCTTCTTTCGCGTCGAGAGCCTCAGAGCAGGGCGGCGATAGCTGCGGCGGCGGCGGCGGCGGTGGCGGCAGCGGAGCCTGTACGAGGACACCAGCGCACTGCGCCATCAGCTTCCCGAGCTCGTTGGACGCGTCCCCCAACTTCTTCCGGATCCTTGCCCGCGCTTCGGGCACGCCGCTGACAAAAGAGGCGTGTCCCGCGTTCACCTTACCGCCGGCGGCGACGGCGGTCACCGCACCGGCGGTGGTCGCACCGATGCCGCCATCCGGGTGACGATTATCTAGCACGCCCGCAACGACCTTGTCCAGGCCGAGGAGAGCTCGGTCGTAGCAGGCCTCTGCCGCCAGGCAGAGCGACCAAGCCGTCGGGTCCCCAGGGGCGCGGCCCACCCTGGCGAGGGAGTGGATGCAGGTCTCGGCCAGCGGCCGAGGGTCGTCGCCGTCTTCCGCAGAAAGGGCCTCCCAGACTCGGCCGTGCAGGCCTCCGCAGACGTTCAGGTCTCCCAGCGCCAGGGGGGGGCTGGCGGAAGACAAGAGTTCCTGCAGTCGGGCCGACAGGCCCCGCTGTGCCTCCGTGCTCCCACCCTCACCCGTAGTCGGTCCTGCTGGACCTTCCGCTGCTGCTGCTGCCGTCGCGATCCCGACCCCGACCGCTTTCGCGCGAAGCGAGACGCAGGCGTGGGCGACGTCGCCGCAGAGCTCAAAGAGCTCCGCGCGTCGCGCCTCGAGCTGCCGCCGAGCTGCGCGAGTCCAAGCCAAGCGTCCCATCACGTCGCCGTCGGCGACGGCGGCTGCGTCTCGGGAGTCGCGCGCGAGGGCCTCGCTAAGGGAGCCCTTCCACAGCGGCCCCAGCTGCTCCGCTCGGTCGTCCTGCCGCCGCCGCCGTCGGCGAGCTGCGGCCTGCGCTCCCCCTCCTCCGCCACCGCTGCCGCCCTCGCTCGGACCATCACGTTTGGTCGCCGCTGCCGCCGCCGCCTCTTGTCCCTCGTCATAATCGTCACCATGCCGGTCCTCCTGGTCGTTCTGGCTGTCGTTATCGCCGTCGCCGACGGCGACGACCGCTGCGCTGGAGCGCCGGTCAAGCGTAACCTTCGCCTCCGCCAGGTTCTCCCACGCCGCGCACAACGAGTCCAGGGCGCCCTGGACGAGCTCCGCCCGAGTCTCGTCGTCCGGCCCATCTTCCCGTTGCTGCTGCCGCTGCCCCCCGCTTCCCCGCGCGGCGGCGGCCTCTTTGCCCTTGGCACCGGGAGCGGCGGCGGCTGCCTCCCGCGAAGCTTTGCTTGCTCGGGAGCCGCCGCTTGTTCTTCGCCCGCCGCCGCCACCGTCACCACCGCCGCCGCCGCCGCCGCCGCCGCCGCCAGTCCCCTTGCGTCCGGATGAAGGCGACGACGACGAAGACGAAGAAGAAGAAGAAGTAGGACCATCGCTGCCGGCCGCAACGAGGGGCGGGTCCGGGAAAGCTCGCCGTAGCCGGGCGCGGGCGACGGCCACGTACGTGCCGACGAGCTTCTGCTGGAGGCCCCACAGCTGCTCCGACACGACCGAAAGCGCCGTCGCCGGGTCCCCGCTCTCGTCCAGCGACCCACGCCGGCGCCGGAGCCGGCGCCGGCGCGGCCCCTGCCCCAGCCGCTGCCGCTGCTGCCGGCTGCCTTGGCCCCCGTCCTGCATGCCCGGCGGGTCTTCGTCCTCGGCCTGCCCTTCCTCGCAGCTGCTGGAGTCGGTGTCGTCGTCTTCGTCGGCGACCGTAACCCACGGGTTGCGCTGCTGCCGCATGATGGCCACGGGCCGCTTTCTTTCCCCGACGATGACCACGTCGGCGGTGGCCGAGTCGTCCCGCCCCGCAGCCGCGGATTCCTGCCTGGCCATCACCCCATGGAGGATGGCGATGCCGCTCGTGAGATGGTCCTTCACAACAGAACACACGGCAGCCAAAGCGTCCGCGAGAACCGGGGGGGGGGAGGGGGGGGGG